CAATGCAGCGCAGTTTATTACCGGAGTGTATTGTTTACTCAATGGCTAGCACTCTCAGAACGCGAAAACTTAGTGACAAAACTCGCTATCAAGTAATTCAAATWCAACCTCATTAATAATATGCTTTCCACTTGTAGTACGAGTCCGGAAACAGATGACTAGAATCAATAACTATGCTTTCATGTTCTAGAAGAAAAAATATCCGCTATTTTGAATTCTTTTAGCCAGGCATTACTTATGTATTGATCAGTCCAGGGGGTCGTGAGAACGGTCAAATAAAGGGGAGAGTCAATCAAACAGAAAAAAAACTCTGGGATGAGCTATTTTCCCTGTCAGCCCCCAATTTATTGATGTTACGAAGAAGGGTAAAAGACAAAAGCGGGGGAGTGAAAATGTTTTTTTTTTCCAAGTAGTTTGCGCACGATATTTTTGCAACTCAGTTTTTCAGAAAAATTTTCATTTCTTGGCCAACGAGTCCAGTTTAMGACCGTTTCTGTTTTCTGGTTTTTCTTTTCTTTTCAAACATTCCCCAGGGAGCATCAGTATCATTCATAATATGTCGAATAATTTTGGATGTTTTCCCACATGTTTGAGTATTGTGTTTCGGWATATTAGCTCGTATTTTGTGTTACGGTCAAGCGTGCCAGCATTGTGTTGATCAATTACGGATCTCTCGCCTTTTGCTGTAAGGAAACCCAAWTTCTGTGGTTTTATTTATTTTCAGTTCAGGGCAAAGTTCGATAGAACACTGGTTCCTCTAGGGTCAAAAAGCTATCACACAGGCCTTTRTTTTTTCTTTCACGAGAAAGTACTTATTTTTATAACGCCAGGGCATCTTTTTACATTAATTGTGCGATTCATTTGTCCAATTCGTTTCCATCAGTTTTTTTATCACTCTACCCCTCGAATATTGTACTTATCCTTTTATCTTTCGAAAGGTCAACATTGTGTTCAATATTCTCAATGTCCTAAAAGCCTTAATCTGTCGAATAGTCTAAATCAAATAGATCTTTATATTGGCTAACGAGGCTTTTGTYGGGGTTGGTCTTTAATGGGGCTATAATAGGCATCTTCGCCAGATGCGTTTAGAAGAGACCTTACCACATTGGCTAAAACCTGCAAAAATCGATAAAATCAAATACTAGCCSAAGGCTAAAGAGAAATGTTACTCTTTTTTGTACGAAAGAAACGCACAAAGTACAAAACAAACTRACCACCGTGCCAGGAACAAACGAATTTAAATTCATGAGCCAGCTTTGATGAGGTCAAACACTTCTTGCTGAGCATTTAGAGTCCACATTTCGCTTGCGTTGGGCGAGTTGATCGTTTGAGTGGCTAATAGGCCCCCCGAGGAAGCAGCCAAGTTGGCGACAAAACTACTTTAACTATGTTCATTTTTCTTAACTGTAAAAYACTGATAGGTAGCCACTATTTTTGTCAATTAGTTTGTGATAGGCTCTCAGCCAAATTTTTGATGTACGGCCGCTACGTGACTCTGTATTTTTGCACTGATTTTCTTTGACATAAATTCCACTATCAAAGATTACTWCAATAAGATCAATCCATCTTTCATCAACCTCGATAGCACTAAGTGAACTTCACGGTATTTATATTTAAAGAAAAGTTTGAAGAGCGGATTTAAGGTKGGTTTGCAGAAGGCGCCCGTCGACTCTTTCTAAAGAGCCCAGACTAAACTTTGCGATGATGAGGTGAATCCAAAATACGAAGATCAAACAAATTAAAACAAAATTTCAAAGATTCTTTTGAGCTGAATAATTAACAAAAWTGAATCTTCTAAAGTGATTAAAAAAAGACATTTGAATATTCCCGACAGTCTAAGTGAATATACAAACAATCTTCACGCAGAACTTTTCCATTTTTTCTGATTAAAAAAGACACAAACGGTACGATTGGATTTTAAGGGCAGCTGATTCTATTGTTTAAAAAATAGATTGAGAAAGTTCTTTGTAAAAATTTTGTTTTTGTTTCTGTTTTTTAATAATTATCCGTAAAAGATTATTAAAAATTTAAAAATACCGCGCGCGTCATGCAGTTCATGATCAGTTCTGAATGCACTTTACTGGGTTTTAGCGCTTTTTTGACGTTTTCATTAAAACTCTTTCTATGGGGTAAAAGTTTGGGTAAATTTTACATACGGATTCGGGCGATTATTCTAATATTTTGACAACGATGTCAGTCAAGTAATAATTTTTTATGCTTCTTTTCGAATCAAATTAAAAGGCCAGATAGTCATTGAGGTGGTTGGACAAAGGATTAACAAAAAGACATTATTGCTTTGCCAGATGGTCTATGACCTCGAAAAAACAACAGCAACAACGATGGAACACGATTGAATATTTCTGTTCCTGCTTCTCTAAGACAGCCTTGGTTTTTTGCCTTCTTGAAAGCTTTGTCGCTTGCCCCTTTTAAGTTTATACTGAATTATCTTAATCCTTCGTTCTTTATTGATGACTGATAAGTAATTCCCAATACATTTAAGACGGTCACACTTGAACATTTCTCAGCCGAACCAAGAAAGCACGAGGCGTTGACCATTCTTGTTAATTAACTAAGTACGATTTTTCATTCATAAATGAACTCCGGTTTGTTTTCGTCTTCTTTTAATTTTCGAGGAAACCTTTTATTGTATTATAGGCGTAAACAACGCGGTGTAAATTGCTTGAGTTTGRGAGGAAGAAGGCCGTCTTCCGCGGTGTCAGTCCCCGAGTGAAGTGATCTGGAGGGACGAACTTGTTCAGCACAAGTCAAATCAAACGTTTACRATATGGAGTATTTCCAAAGGACAACAACGTAACCGTCAGAATATTTATTTTGTCATCGATCAGTAAAGTACGATAACCCTATATTTCGGCATTTTTCTTTRTAGTTCTCATATTACGAGCAACTTTAACCGGATCAAGTCAGCATGCAAATCCGCTACGCCAAAAAAACGCACAGCATGAGACAGTCGAGGTGTCGATCGTCTCGACTCGATAAAACTCACCCAAAAACACCGCTATTCCAAATATCATACCACCAAGAGGAAAGATTAATTTTTATACCTTAATGTTAATCGTCAAATCCTCAAAAAAATAGAAGATGCAAAATATTTAATCGTATCGTGCTGGATGTATATCCGGTTAAATGCGAGGGCGAGGCTTCCGGTTCTGCGCAGGAAGGCTTATGCGCAAGCTTTTTTGGTGGGATGGTGCTGGATGATTGCGGGCTCAATAACAGGAAGAGCCAATATTTTTGAGAAGAAATCGCAAGCCACAGTTCCTGGCCTATACAAGAATGACTTATAACTGCTTAAACTCGCAAATTCTCATCGGCTTAATAATTCTCCTGTATTTCTGTGGAGTTGCATTATCAGACAAAGGTATGGTTATCGATTTGAACCGCTTTTTTACCGTAGAAAGTGATTTTTAACCCCTCGAAGTGATGGTTTCGAAAGCAGACTTGTTTGTGTACAGTCGATGGCTTTGAATAAGTAATTCACGTGGACGCCAATAGTTCCCGCCTTGTGAATTGTTCATGACCTTCAGTTTGTGTTTCAGGTTTTCACATCTTGTTTTAAGCCGATATAATGGTCTTTGTTGCCGAGTTAGCTAAAACTAATACAAACGCCCTGTTATTATTRAAGGCTTCCCAAACGACTCGAGCCAACTGTTTTTTTATCATGAGCTAATCTTGACCAACATCAGCAATTTGCGGCTTTCTCATTGCTATCTTCGCTTCAAATTACCTCGTAATTCATGTCCAAAGACACCTACACCATACAAATAGTATTTTATTTGTTTATATACTGTAAATACTTCGTAACGGGCAAGGACTTCAAAACTTGAAGAAGTGAACATTTGCCCTCAACTCAGCTTRTTGTACGAACTTCCTCATCGAGGATTTTTTTGCTAAGCTTTTTAAAACTAAATATAGCTGACAGTTGAATTACTATCGTATKAGTCATTTATTATTCAGGAAAACATAATATTTGGTCTAAAACTGCGTATTGGTTTTGTATAACACGTTCAAGCTTATCGACTGCTTCTCTTAGTCTAAAACGAATTGAATTCATTTTCGATGGAATCTTCCTATTTTTTATCCGAAGATTACAAAAAGATTACTTTATCATTTTATCGTTTGCTTTGCTAAATTAATTTTCAAGAATTTGTTATTTCCTGTGGTAAAGATATCTGATTCTTATTTTGAATTCTTTATTTGAATATGTACAATTTTGGTTTTGAAAAGCATACATAAAGTCACAAGTTTGTTAGAACTTCAACAATATTTTCTTACTTCGCGTTGACGTTGTCAGTGATTAACCAAAAATATTGTAAAATTCTTGTCGAAAATCTTCTAATTGTTGTCGTGTTATGGCTAGACTTAARACAACTTGCTAAATTGATTGGTTTTGGACTGATACTGCTTAAATTCGCACGTATATATGTGTAGATAAAAAGAATTTGTYTTAAGCCCAGGCTTAATACTTCGTTAAGATAACTGAAAATATAAAAATTATTTAACCATTTTCACTTTCACTTTGGTTTCCGTTTAACAATTATAATCCTTTAAGTACATTTTGGTTTTAGTTTCTGTTCTATAAATGTGAAACATTTCTGTGAAGATTTTGAAATAGTTGTACCATTCAAAATTTTTTTTAATGATAGATATAGAGTTTCAATTCATATTCCTGTGCAACGATAACTACTATAAGGGGTACAAGTCTTGCAYCTTACAACTTAAATTAGCCCATTAATGCTACAAGGTAAATGTGAAGCAATATTTTAAATTCAGACAGTCGTTTTTGCAAAACAATAGCTACAAAGGTTGTGCCGCTATAATTACTGTGGAGGACACATTTCACGTTAGGTCTTAAGAACCTGCATGTAGCCTATTGTTTTCTTAAGTTTAACAATTGACACCCATTTATTCATGTAAATGTATCTTTTACTGGTTCTGTTAGAAATCTTAAGTATTGAAATTTTGTAAATARAGTTCTTGACTCATTTTCTTTGATGTATATTTTCATTTCATGGAAATAATATTCCATATATAGACAAATTATAAGGTTTGGCATAAGAATCAAATGTGTTTCTTGATTGAAATCCAATATATCCTTTTCTTGTAATAAACTTAGTCATACATACATACATACATAACCTTTATTTCAATACGGAATCTCTTCATAAAAATGCTCTTCCAGAGAGCAGTATATACAATAACATATAATAAATAATTAGATCAAATAATATGTACAAAATTTTCAAATTACTCTATATATCCTAATGTTCTAATTTACTACAATCTACTAAAAATAGCTTAATAATACTAATAATAAATTATTCTAAGTTTTTTACAAACAATTTAAGATTTGGTTGCCCTCTAGTATGATCGGGCAAATTATTCCAGAGAACTGCCCCCCCTGTAATGGAAGCTGTTTTTTCCAGCTTCAGTATGTGGTTTTGGTACCGTCACATTATAAGTTGAGTTTCTCAGATTATAAGAATGCACAGATTTTGTGCTACTAAAAATCTGAGTCAAATAATGTGGAGTAATTCCATTTAATGAGTTATACATTATTTTTGCAAGTTGTTTATATCTTAGAGTTTCAAGATTATCCCATGTGAGCTCACACAGAATTTCTACTGATCTTCTATCATAGCAATTTAAAGTATTATTTTTTCTTGATTTCACAGAATTCCTTTTAAGCAGGCCAGAAAATGGCTGGTTTACAGTCAGTAAGAAAATAGGCTCTCAATCCACAGGAGGTGTAAGTTAAAAACTATTTCTTAGTTAAAAATATTTGGGATTTGTTTTGATTAAAATSGAACCTTATCAACCTATTAAACAGACCAAAGACAGTGTTCATATATAAGTAGAATGTCTGTGTTACTGTAARTGCAAGTGGGTTATTAAATTATCCATTAGTGTAGTGTGATAACGAGTGTCTGTAGCAAGGTTTTTTTCTTGTCCTCGTAATGGGTTCTACAATATTCTACCACCAGTTTTTGGAAACAATGATGACTTGGTGTTTGGTAATATTGAGCTGTTACCCTCTCAGTGACTGCTATATACAGCTATTTTTAAAAAAAGGGGCGAATGGCAAATGACGATCAGTGATTGGCAATTGCACGACCAAAACGCACAGTGGGCACATGCATCTAAACACAAATAATCTAGGCGTTTTAAGAATGATAAGAGATTCAAGTCATTCCAGCTATTCTAGCATTTGGAAAGAATTATCACTTATTTTCTATCGTCGTCCACCCCTATACCCTTTTTTAAATAGCTGTATGATGATGGAAGTGATTAACCACTTACCATCACATGTGAATATAACTTGATGCTTGTTGATTCGTTTCTGTGCTTTTTACYGCCATCCGGTTAGCTCAGTTGGTAAGAGCGTCCCTCTGTTGTGCYGGAGGTTGTGATTTAGGCCTCAGTCAGACCAACACTCAGGGTCTTAAAATAACTGAAAAGGTTAGGCAACTGCAAATGGTTAGACTTTTAAGGTGRCTCGGATGACCACTTTAAAATAGTTTTAAATCCAATATTGGAGGGACATAAAAGAACCACTGACGACGCAAAGTAACCCTGGCAGTGACCACCCTCAGTGCCTACACCTCATACTAACCACCTCTCATTCACAAATCATTGTAAAGCGCCTTTGAAAATATCCAAATGGAAAAGAGCACTATATAAATAAGTATCATCATCATCATCTTTGGAAGTTTTATCTTAGCTCTCCCATTTTTTTTGTTAAGGAAAGGAAGGACCCATGGGCTGAAAGGGGAACACCTTACATCAAAAGGGTATTGTCCAGGTTTTTTTGTCTTTAATTTCTTGGTAATAAGTTTTTTTCCTGGTAATTTTGTTGCAGTGGTTTGCTTACGAGAAAAACCTATACTCCGTATGTGACAGCTCCACGAATGTCGGAGAGCCAAAAAACTGGTTACGAACTGACTTCATTAATCTTAAAGATGCTATATTGGTTGACATTGTCCTTAATTATACAATGCGCAAATGCCGATCGGGCCAAAAGTACTGCAAAGAGTATTTTAAACTATACGGTTATCAAACATCCAATACTGCACCAAAACCAAACCCTTTGGAAACACCATTTGACTTCCTTGATCAAGCCATGCCAACAAATGTACCTGATCGACAAACAGGAGCTAAGGATTTTAATCTGTTAAGSGTTTCTTTAAGGACAAAAAGTAAAGGATTATACCTTGCGCTTWWCGATGAAGGAGCCTGCTTGAGTCTGCTAGGTGTTCTTGTTTCATTCAATTACTGCCCAGAAAAAGGAAAAAACCTCGTGACTTTTGTGAAAACCGTATCGCCATTAAACGATTCAAATGTTAAGCAAGTGGAAGGAAATTGTACAGATAAACATTCAAGRAACACTTCTGTYCTGATGGCTACTTGTATGAGCGAYGGGAATTGGAAGATGAATRATAGTGTGGTGTGTTTGTGTCAGCCAGGATACGAATATTCTGAAAATCCAGAACCTCATTGCAAAGGTAAAAATGACGTTGTTTACATATGTTTAATTAACATAAAATTACTAGTATTTGATTCGCTAGTAAATACAGTGTGCCTTAATTTTTCCTAATAATGTAAACAAGATTTAATAGTATGGAAATCACATAATGAAGGTTGATTAATTTAAAAAAACTCTCAATATACTTGATACTCAGGATTTAAAAATTGTTTTAAATCTGACCTTTAAATCAGCATGACAATGCTCCTTAAATCTTGTGATCATTTTTAAAACTTTGAAATTAACCTTTTTTATCAGATTCTTGAAGTCCAATAAGCCTGAAGCGAGATGACGTTTTACCCCCGTCTCTAGACCATAATCCTTTTCACACTGCTTTTGTTCTTTAATTGTGACTATTGTTCCAGTATTCTTTAAGGAATCAAAAATTTTAATATGAAAGAATTTTAAAAACTATTATGGCCTAGAGACGGGGGTAAAACGTCATCTCGCTTCAGGCTTATTGTTTTCATCTGTCCTTAAGTCTTCATTTTTGAAATAATTTGCAAACTTGACATCTTTCACACATAGGTGTACTCCCTTCTAATGGTGATTGCCATGCAATAGACCAGTTTCAAGTTCCAAGTTACCGCTGTGTTCCTTGATTACAGACTCATTTACACAGGGTTAACCTCGTATCRGTGTTTAAATATTCACAAATACCAAYGGTAAAGTAAAGRATGCACAACTTCAACAATACAAACACTTTGAAACTYGACGGACCTTGACTGGAACCCGTGAATATTCTGCACACACTCGAGGCTAACCCTGTGCAAATGAGTGCACAATCAAGGAACACAGCGGTAATTTGGAACTCGAAAATGGTCTATTGCTTTGCCTTAAGGGAGTTCTTAAGGACATTCTTAATCAATGACAACTTACTTTATATTTTCAATGAAAAAAAATTGTGACCACGAACAGTTTTTGAATTGATCATGTGCTTTAAATAATTGTTAATGTTAAAAAAATGTTAAGATAATTGAAATCATTGAATTTTTTTCTCAACTGTTGTACTGATTTTTTTCCTGACCTACTTTTATTTTTAGGCTGTGTTTCTGGGAAATATAAAAGTGAATTRAGCAACACAGAGTGCAAGTTCTGTCCACAGAATGCCGCACCTGATACGAATCGAATGAGTTGTGTTTGTCAAGATGGGTTTTACAAGTTGAAAGACTCTCCAATTTCTGTCCCATGTGAAGGTATTTCATATACAGTAGATTTTTCATATAATATAGGTAAATATAGGTATGTATCCTGTACAGAGCGTTTTCACTCGTGTGACAGGGCAGCTATATTGGTTACCAAACGATAGAAACTTTCAGTACATATTTTTYGTAAAATAGAATTCAATTCCCTAAGGATAGAAAATGTATTGTTTTGGTACACAAACATGGCTGCTGTGAGGTCACGTGAAAACTCTTCAATCCTGGTTACCATGGTTATGGAGGGCATGACATTTTCGGAATGTCTATGATGATGTTGGTTGGTTGATGTTCAATGATCCTTGTCTATGCTGCTCCGGAGGGGTACTGTATGCCGCAAAAAAAAAAAAAAAAA